TAAGTACGATAGATCGATCAGTACAGAACGTTTTGACAGATAACAATACCATTAGTTCCTGTTTTGTTTGTAAATGGAATGTTATACATATACATATGTATAAATAGGAGCTAATAAACTTACAGCATTTTTAGGGATTTGAATTTGCATCCGGATACTCTAAATCGAATCACATTCGATTTTCTAGATAGGAATTAGCTACTGCCACGGAAACCGAGAAAAATAATAAATAAAGAATAAAAACAAATTAGACTTATTTTTTAAAGAAGACCTAAAGGCCCAAGCTTCAATCAGAGATCAATTGTTCGATAATTCGAGCTGAAGTTGCCAAGACTGGATGTGATCGCTCTAAAAATGTTTTTGATGATAGAATATTATTTAGAATGGTCTGTGTCACGATGAAGAGACACACGAATGATAAGTTTGGTAAAGACTATAAGGAATTTAGAAGTTTCTTGGGAACTGCGGGTTGGTATTGTCGATGCATCAAGAACTTCTCATTACTAACAGCCCCGCTAACAGATTTGATCAGCAAAGGATCTAAATACATCTTAACCGAAGAAGCAATTTCAAGTTTTTACCAGCTGAAAAAGGCATTAGCTACAGCTCCAGTGCTGGCTCATCCGAACTTTAAGAAAAGTTTCTATATTCAATGCGATGGCTCGAATTATGAAAGATGATTATAACAATGAGAGGTCAATTTCTTTCTATTCTCAAATGCTTAATTAGGCACAAAGAAAGTACATCGAAAGAGTTTGGAAAATGAGGAAATAAGTAAAGATCCAGAGAACAAAACATTGTGTCCTCTTCGAAATAAATATTATTGGCCGAACATGTTGATACAAATCCGAAATTACGTGTAGAACTGTAAGGAAACCAAACCTGTTAACAAAAATACGCTCAGACAACGGACAACAATTTATTCTAAAGAATTAAAAAAATACAACTTTGTACGAAATGAATCATTTGCTGTCCATGCCCCTCAATCAATTATCCAAAGCGTATTAGCGTCAATTTAGAGCCTATATGGTCATTGACTATAAAGATTGGGACATACACTTACCGTCCATAGAAGTCGCATTATGAACATCTGTAAATACTGTGACTGGCGTCGGTCATTTCTTTAGAACGCTCGAGTTGTTTTGTTCCTGGACAGGAAGTATTTAAAATAAACTTTATACTAAGTGGCTTAAGACACAATACCAATGCGAATAGTTTAACTGGATATAAACTACGCGTCCCATACTAAAACAGTTGATATCAAAAAATTAAAGGTGATAGAGAACTTATCTTTGAAGAAGCGTGTACGAGATTCTCAAATGTAAACACGAATCGTTAATTTTTTTAAAGGATTGTGAAGGAGATTTTCCACCGATTAGGACTGGTAAATGTGCAGTACCGATAGTGAACAGACATCAGGTGACGATGACGGATTTTTACATAATATTAGAAAAGTCCAAAGTAATAATAACAGATTAAGAAAAGAGGCTAATGCCCGCGAAACCATCAAAAGACTAAATGATATTTTAAAAGAACGCCTGGTTAAACTGGCTTTCCCTGAGGCTATTGGTCCGCGAAGCCATCAAAAGACTAAATTATATTTTGAAGGAACACTCAGTGAAGCTGTTTTTTCCTGATCAACAGGCTAGTAAAGCCGTATCATCATTACTACAGACATCCATGGACACTCAGCCTCTCTTACAGAAAGCTCTTTGTAAGTGGATACATTGGTTTCAAAGGAGATAATTAAAGGCACTATTAGGACAATCGGCAAAAGAATAAATAAATAAGATTTGAAAATGGGAACGTTAAATATTAATATGGAACCCTAAGCCCTCAAAATTAGACTACTATATTAAAGAAGATTGGTATAAAGAGCTTTTGGAGCACTTTCCTATCGACAATGGCTTTAGGTTGGAAGCAATTATGACGGACTATAGACAGGTATTCCTGCTCTTAAAAATTATCTCATCTATATTATATAGTTGTCGCTATTAGGAATAAAATAAGCTTATCGAACTTCGACTATGTCAAGTTTGGCACAGACTTCTTACTGGTTATGATTTCTGTAAATACACATTGGATATGGTGGGTATCATGGGGACCCTGTCCACATGCTGGGCATATATTGGGGACGACATGGACTATGCGGCACCAGCAGGCGTTGAGCCTGTTGCTCCATGCCGATCTCAGTTGTTGCAGTGCAACTCTTGTTTTCCGCAGCAGGTTCATCTCTATTTCAACCTCCAAGAACGACATTCATGTGGTAACCTGAAACCGCGGTATTGATGGCGTCTCTATGAATGTCGTTCCGTGGGGCAGCATTTTGGCAGCTTTGCATATTTCCCCACTGGGTATAACTCAGCGAAGGAGACCATACTGGAGCAACATAATAGGTAGCCAACATGGTTTCTTTGTCCATTCCCCATGTACTGCCGGCTAGCGCTTTGAGGACATTGTTTCTACTTCGCAATCTGTGCGTAATTGCAGTGGCATGAGCTGAGGTATTTGGGTTCCATCGACTACGACGCCTAAATTCATGTTTACCTCCTTCGCCCAGATGATGAAAAGTGTTGCTGAAGACTTCGCTGGTGATAGTTTCGGGTTACGTCCAGTGAAGAATTTGTGTATTTCTCCGGGATAACTATTCACTCGATCGCATAGCTCATCAACGTTTTGGCCCGTCGTCAAATGGTACAGTCGTCCGCATAAGATATAACTTCCACTCTACGGGTTTTGGAACACTTGTCTCTAAACTCTACGAACGACTGGCGGTAACTCACATAATTCACAATCCATCTTTTCAAGTTGTTGGGCATGGTGAACTGCTGGATGTCCTGGAAGAGTGTGGTATGGCTGACTGTATCGAAGGCCTTCGATAAGTCTGGCTGGTTTAAGCCCTATGAGATCTGAGTGGTTATGGCGGTTAATGATGGCGAGCTGCTGTTGGATGACTGGACAACTGGGGGAGGAGGAGCGCCTCAAGAGTGGCAGGAGGGAAATCGGCCTGTAGAATTGACCCTCTGTCGATCCGCCCTGGTTTCAGTATGGGGATGACTCTACCCCTTTTCCAGGCATTGGGTATTATCAGACTGCTTATTGACATGTTAAAAACCATTGTCAAGTACTCGACTTCCCGTACGCCAAGGTGTTTCAGCATCAGCATGGATATGCCGTCGGGGCCAATCGTCTAAGATGGTTTGGAAGCGTTGATGGCCTCTGCAACTTCAGAAGGGGTGAAGGGTTTTGGAATGTCCAGGACTGTAAGGTTGTGGAGTTTAGGAACAACTCTTCGTTTCGCCTTATCTCTCTCTGGGTGCTCAATAAAAAGCCAGAAAATGTATGCGACCACAGTTCAGGGTCGGAAATAGTGATGTCTGCAAATTTAATCGCGATCATTCATCGGCCAAGGGCTGTTAACCGCAGCAAAAACTACACATCACTTTTATATACCCTTGGCAAAATGCTGAATATGCCGAGATTCTTGATTACTCCGATCTTAAAGGCCTTAGGGCTATTTTTATCATTACGGAATTTCAATTTTAATTTAAATTCATTATAATTTTTTTAATTTTGATCTTTTAAATCCATGATACTTTATTCAATCGAATTGCTGAAGTAAATTAAATCTTCAAACTGGGAAAACAATTAGATTTCCAATATCATTCACCATGTTCTTATACCTTTTTAGATTAAATTATAACTGAAAAGAGTTCACTACTGATCTTTAGAATAAGATAAACAATTTGAGTATTATTATAATATATTTATTTTAATTCACAATAACATTTGTTTAGTAAACATACAGTGGTAAATGTTGAGATTATAGTTTCGAAAATAACATTAATTAGGTGTTATTTGCTTATAAATTCGAAGAAAACAAAAATATACAATAAATACTAAGCTTTTGAGGAATGCACACAGGATATTTTGAAACATAATAAACTAATACATACAAGGAAAATTAAAACTATTTGAGAATATTTTCTAAAAGTTTTTCATCACTATACTGCAAATATGTGAATCAGGAAGTTGCAAAATATTTAACCTTCCTTGAGACCATTACCCCATTCTTTAGCAATCATATATATAGCATGTTGATTTAATTTTGGTCCAATTAGTGGATTCATTTGGGCCATATAGCAGCACAGCCAAAATAGCCAACACGTCGCTCCCGTTAAAATTAATGTACAACGTATAAGATTTTGATGTGGACCCTTTGGTGTCATCAATGGTAGACCAATTCCAACGCTAGCCCATATAGCAGTGAAGAATAAAATAGGAAAGAATGCTGCACCCATTTTTTAATATTTTACTGCAAAATTTTCTAAAATTTCTTCTTTTTTATCACCAAATCTAAAAAATCAATTTTTTTTCCTTTTCTATACACAACAATCAGAGCCCTGTGCCGACAAATATTAACGGCGGCTGACATTAAAAATATCGTCGGCGACTTAAAATCTACTGTAAGCCGGCTAATGCTTTGTTTCCATAGGGTTCTATAAATCGACTTTCTAATAATCGAACAGTCGACTATTTTGTATACCCGTTAATAAAACAACCTTTTGATAAAACAGCAAACCCTAACAGCTGTTTTTGATTGTTGTGTGGTGAGTTTCTGTAAAAACGTAAACAAATGAAAAAAAAAAAAAACAAATTACTAGACATATTTATTTTGTGCTAAGAAAAATTTATGTATTTTAATAATGTTTTATAGCCAGTGCAAGTGTTCTTGGTGTACACCATCTAACCCAATAATAATCCCGGTTTCATTAGAATCAAGTATTTTTAAAACGGCCATATATAATGTGCAATTCATTCTATATGCCATGACTGGTTGAAAGAGTCACGGAATCCATCGGAGATCAACCTAAAAAATGAAAAAGGGGTGGATTTAACTTCTTGTTCCGTTCATATGGGACAAGATTCGAGCCTCATCGTATCAGTTCGCCAGATACCTCATTTGTGTATATTGCAGGGTCCTGGTACCCAACACAGCCTTATTGTAAACGGTCTCATAATAATACTTCGATCTTTTCTTCATTCTACGACTATGCAAGAATACAGCTATGACATATTAATGCTTTAAATGCAGCATGACTATCAACCTAAAATCTTACCAGAGACCGGCGAACAATGTGATTCCCTATTAGTTCCGTAACTTTCAAGATCGCTAAATCACCACTTGGAAGACACAACCCATCTGGGTGTCAAGGAACATTTTACACCGTTTGTAACACATTGAAATATTGGTATAATATCCATAAAAGTATATGCTGGGATCTTATTACAGTCTAAGATTGAGTTTGTTATTGAAAATGGACAATATCGGTATACGATAAACTCATCAAGGAGCCAAGGAACTTTTACACCGAAATATTGGTCTAAAATCCATAAAAGTATAGACTAGGATCTTAACCAATATTTGCCAAAATATTTTTAGTTGATGGAGTTTATTATTGAGCTTCAATATTCCAGTATAGCGAAGAAGAACGACAAAAACAAGTTTTATAGGAACTAAAATCTTTTTGCCAAATTTTATGAGGATCAGGAAATTATTTTACAAGATTTATATGATCCAAAACCTTTCTGGGTTGGTTCAAAATTGACCCTACCCCCATATAAGTTCCCCTTCAGAAAAAGATATTAACTCCAATAATTGTAATAAAAATACCAATATAGCAAAGAAATTCCACATAAACAAGGAGTCAACATCGTTTTGTCAAATTTAAGGGGATCGGTCCATAATTTAACCTATCCCCGATATAAGGTCCACCTCGGGAAATTACTACCACTCATAACAGGCTTAAAAAATAGCTATAAAATTCGACAACAACTTTTATATGAAACAAAATTTATCTGTTGAATTTTGTAAAGGTCGGTCCACAGTTGACCCTACCTAAAATCTCAAACAGATTATGCCATCCGATTTCTACACTTCCAACTTAAAGTTCTATATATGTTTTTATCGTGCACAAGATCGTCCGATAGCAGTTATGTATAATTTTCTATATACGGATATAGTCACATTTTTGTAAAAAAAGTTTGTTGCTGTAGTACACACCCTAGAACGATGAACTCCACAAAACAAATTATGCCATCCGATTTGTATATTTCCAACTTAAAGTTCTATATAGGTTTTTATCGTGCACAAGATCGTCCGATAGCAGTTATATATAATTTTCTATATACTTCCATAATAAAATTTTTTGTCAAAAAAAGTTTGTTGTAGTACACACCCTAGCACGATGAAATCAGGAAAAAAATATATGCCATCCGATTTCTACACTTCCAACTTAAAGTTATATATAATTTTCTATATATTTCCATAATAAAACTATGTAAAAAAAAGTTTGTTGTTGTAGTACACACCCTAGAACGATGAAATCCGAAAAAAATGTATGCCATCCGATTTCTACACTTCCAACTTAAAGTTCTATATAGGTTTTTGTCGTGCACAAGATCGTCCGATAGCAGTTATATATCATTTTATATATACGGCTATAGTAACATTTTTTGTAAAAAAAAAGTTTGTTGTTGTAGTACACACCCTAGAACGATGAAATCCGGAAAAAAATGTATGCCATCCGATTTCTACACTTCCAACTTAAAGTTCTATATAGGTTTTTATCGTGCACAAGATCGTCCGATAGCAGTTATATATTATTTTATATATTCGGCTATAGTAACATTTTTTGTAAAAAAAAAGTTTGTTGTTGTAGTACACACCCTAGAACGATGAAATCCGGAAAAAAATGTATGCCATACGATTTCTACACTTCCAACTTAAAGTTCTATATAGGTTTCTATCGTGCACAAGATCGTCCGATAGCACTTATATATCATTTCATATATATACGGCTATAGTAACATTTTTTGTAAAAAAAAGTTTGTTGTTGTAGTACACACCCTAGAACGATGAAATCCGGAAAAAAATGTATGCCATCTGATTTCTACACTTCCAACTTAAAGTTCTATGTAGGTTTTTATCGTGCACAAGATCGTCCGATAGCAGTTATATATCAATTTATATATACTTCCATAATAACATTTTTTGTAAAAAAAAAGTTTGTTGTTGTAGTACACACCCTAGAACGATGAAATCCGGAAAAAAATGTATGCCATCCGATTTCTACACTTCCAACTTAAAGTTCTATATAGGTTTTTATCGTGCACAAGATCGTCCGATAGCAGTTATATATCATTTTATATATACGGCTATAGTAACATTTTTTGTAAAAAAAAGTTTGTTGTTGTAGTACACACCCTAGAACGATGAAATCCGGAAAAAAATGTATGCCATCCGATTTCTACACTTCCAACTTAAAGTTCTATATAGGTTTTTATCGTGCACAAGATCGTCCGATAGCAGTTATATATCATTTTATATATATGACCATAGTAACATTTTTTGAATGTTTTTTATTAAAAGGCATTCTGTAACGATATAATCCCAAATATATTTATATTTTATCAGATTTGTTCCTTTCCACATTTATACACATATTTTAATTGATCAAAAATATTTTTTTTAATGTAAATCATGAAAATCAATTTTTTTGAATTTTTTCCACGTGCATAAACACATATTGAAAATGTAAATAATGAAAACGAGTTTTTGCGTCTTTTCCACGTGCAGAAACACATATTTGTAAACAAAAATAACTCACCACACCAAAAAAAAATGTTTATTTTGATAAAACAGCTGTTACGGTTTGTTTTATTTTTCGTCGGGTTGTTTTCTTTATGTGCGTCTATTTTGTATCAAAAAAGTCGATAACTCGACAATCGTCTATGAAAAAGACGAAAAGTCGAAAAAAAAAATCGGAAAAACTTGAAAATAATACAAAAAAAGTCAAAAATAGTCGAAAATTTTAGTTTCCACTGACTTGAAAACTACTAGATTTGCCTAAACCTCTTCAAGGTGTTTCCATTGAGCTTACTCGTTTTTGATAATCGAATTTTCGCAAAAATTCTGTCATTTTATTTTAATATTAACACGAAAAATTAATTTTCTTTGAAAATACACATTAAAAATATGTAATTAAGGCAGTAAATGTATAGATTTATTTCATAAATGCCACTAATTAAAAATTTATAATTTTTTTCGAGCACACAAGTAATATGATCTATCATTTTGTGTAGAAGAGTACGGATGGGATCGTTTAAACGCAACATGTAATGAAGCCATCACACATTGAAAGAATATACGGATGCAAAATTTGACAGTTGTATGGTTCTCTTCATATTTTGAAATTATTCAAAAAAGTCGCATTTTTTTTAATTTTAATCAAATTAGTATCATAATGAGCGATATCTCAAAAACTATTAAGCCGATTTCAATCCGGATTTGTATTCAGCATGTCCAAATTAGAAAAACACTTATTTTGCAACAGAAAATTAACCAAAATAATAGAGTTTGAAGCAATTTTTGGATAAGATAGAGAGTTTTGCATTCAGAATTATTCTTTTTATAAGATAGAGAAATTTAAAAATTGCTATAAAATTGCAAAAAAAGTGCCATTTTTGTTTTATTTAATGTCAACTTTCAACATTTTAAAATTTTTATGTTGAAAATTCATAAGAATTTTTAAATTTTTCATAAATTTTAATGCATTTCTAGAATATAATAATTTTAGGGCTTTTGGATTTCATAAAGTACTATTGTAAATGTAACGTAACGTAAAGTAATGACTATTTAACTAATGACTAATTAACTTTAACTTGAAATAAAATACAACACTGTGTTTTGTGGGGAGTGGTTAATTTGTTGTTTGTCAAAATTAGTAAACACTTGTTCGATCTATTGTTTTATTTAATTTTTACTCTATTTTTTTCAATTTTCTAAATAAAATTAACTTTTTAAAATGATGCAGCCATGGAAATTAGCTGTTATAACTATAATAGCAATTTATTATTGTACACAAGGTTTGTAAATTATAAATATGTAACTGAAGAAATCCTCCGACGTGAACCACTCCTCAATTGTAATTGCAGTTAATTTTGTTGCGGGCTTGGAATGTTATGTTTGCTCCAATCAGACGGGTAATGTGGAAAAGTGTTTGAATACGATTAAAACTTGCGAGCCGGGTGAGGATGTCTGTGGCACTGAAATACGTTGGGGCAGTCAGCCATATTTCTCGCAAGGTGCCCTTAAACAGTATTACGTTTCAAAACGTTGCATGACCAAATCCATGTGTCAGGCAAAACGTAGACGTCATATGCCCTATTGTACACACATTTGGTATGAAGATTGGTCGTGTCATGAATGCTGTCAGGGCGATAGATGTAATTATTTTGTAATTGTAAGTATTATTGAATAATATATGTACATCTGTATGGTAGCATTCCATTCCAAACGAATTTCAGCATTTTACTGCTTTGGAATTAGTGTTATACTTTGGAATTAGTATAAATGAAACTTTTAAATTTTAAGGTGGAATTGAATAGAATTATTATTGGAGCAAAGTGGAAGTTTTTACTTCTTGAGTGAATAGGTATAAAATAACTAGTTGCTAATATGCTTGTAAAAGTATAAAGGTTTTTTATATAAAAAACTTGATGTCAGCTAGAGTTAGATGCATTAACTGCTTGTTTGCTAGTCAGACGCTCTAGGCAATTTTAGACAAATTTCATAGATTAGACCGTTTTAAATGATCAACTTTTTTTATAAATTAAAATTTCTAATTTCTTAAAATAAAGTTTCTACAAATTCTACATATTTTTTAAAAGCAAATATTCGAATTGAAAGTTTTACAAAATAGATCAATATCGATGTCAATATATTACTATATGTACCTACATTTAAATACCAATTTAAAATCATTATTATTAAATTTATTCTCTTTGCAGAGCGGTTCTACAAAATTACACACTTCATTTTTAACATCAGTAGCTGTGATAGCATTATCTATGTTCATGGCTATAAAACTGCAATAATTTGATACAGTTTTCAGCAAATAATCATGTAAATCTTAAGCCCTAACAAATTCGAATAGCATTATTATTATAATATTATGCATCTTATTGATTCTTTAATATTTATGCAATTTACTAAGAATCTCTTTCTCAACATTCCATATTGATTTTTTTTACATATTATTGCCTTTTAAAACAATTATTTTTATATGAAATTATAATATAATGACAAAACATTTTAACTACTTCACAAAAAAAAGTGACCTTACTGTATAAAACGAATGTATTCTTTTGTAGGTAGTGTAAGTTTTTTATTTTAATTAACTTAAATTGTTTAATATGTATTTTACAATCCGTCCATTATTATTGTTTATATTTTTTATACACAATAAAATAAACATATCATTAAAAAATTAACCAAAATGTTTTGCGTTTTGTTTAAGATAAAAATCTTTTAATTGTCATGCCACGTATGGTCATGAATATAAAGTGGCAAATAAGTAAGTAATACATGTTTGATAGTGTTTTAAACATTTTCTTAATTGTCGCATTAACTTGTGAAATTTCTATAGAAGCTGTTAAGACATTGAACGTTGATAAAACGTAAGTATTTAAATATATATTTTTTTGTTTTAATAGTTTTTTAGTTTAGTTGTAAAAATATCTACCATGGAACCAGACATTAGAACTGAAAATAATATTTCTGTACAAAACTTTAATAATGAGGAGTATGTAATAAATTTAAGTAATTTCATTTAACTGCTGTTTAATTTTTTATAATTTTATTGCAGACATTTGGAGCAGCAAAGATCACAGCAAATGGAGAGAAGAAAAAGTGTTCCATCTCGCAGAAATTGTTTAAGCGCTACCACTTCCGCTGTTGTTATTTTACTATATAATATGCTAAATACACGTCTGTTAATATAACAACAAAATTGAAAACCGTCGCGTTTATTAAAAAAAGCTGGAAATTATAGTTCGACTAAATAATGGAAACATCGTCAATGGACAAATCAGTAGATTAGTCGATAGAGTGGACTATATATTAATATATAGATTAGATAATATACGGGTTCATATACTAGCCAATAGAGTAGCGGTATAGACTAGCCCATAGACTATAGTTTAGTCCATAGGATAGACCATAGGCAAATCAATGGACTGGTCTATAGACTAGTCCATAGTATTAACATTAAGACAAATGTTTTTTCCATAACCTAGTCAATAGACTGGTTCATATACTATTCTATAAACTAGTTATTAGACAAATCAATAGGCTAGTAAATAGATTGGCCCATAGGATAGTCAATGGACAGGTCCATATGCCAGTTTATAGATTAAGCATTATAGTAGAACAATAACTAGTCCATAGATGAAGTAATATAGTTGTCCATTAACTAGTCAATAGACTGTTACATAGACTAGTCCATAAACATTTAATAGACTAGTCATTACACTAGTCTCGAACTGGTTCATAGATTATGGACTAGACTATTGATTAGTCTAATGTCTGTTTTAGTTCTAGTCTACTGAGGACCAGGCTATTGGCCTGGACTAATCAATTGTTGCGGTGGGACTCTGGGGGTGCCGACTGTAGGGTGTATGTCTAAAAAAAAAATTTTGCGTGGGGGGACCTTAGTGGGACGAGTTTCGAGCACTATCCGGCTTGGCCAGCGACATCGGCGCCTCACCACATGGCCGTGCTCTTAAAGATTTTTACATTATTATTTTTTTTTTTGTCGGAATGGTCTACTTTTCTTATAGTAGTGGGGATTGCCAATCCGCAGTAGACCATTGGCAAACAGGGGGGGAAACCTTGCTCGTGCGACCGCCCGACATACGGATCGCAGTTAAGCCCCGCTGTTTTTACCTGAAAGAAAAGAAAATAATTAAAATTGGAAAAAAATAGTGTGGAACGATACTTACTATACCAATTTTTTTTTGTTTTGTTGTAAAAAATGAAACATATGTTATCCAGTGTTGGTAAACGTTCGTATATGTTTTACTTGTTGCAGACTATTGTGAATGATTGCTACAGTAGGGTACGTAGTAGTAAAACGGATGAATGAATTTATGCGTCCTTTTTGTATTGAAATTTAGTTGTAATGGGGAATTCTAATGGAAATGAAATAGATATATTTAACTAAATAAAATTTTGTTAGAAAGGGATATATGTATCGTTGTTAAAAGGCAGATTTTAGAGGGAAAAAAAAAATAAAGATGGCTTTATTGGAATAGCTAGTTAATATAGGTCAAGCGTAGCCATGTAAATTTTGTACTTGGTAAGATTACAAAGCTTCTGGACGTTGAGAAATAAAGACATAAAAAAGTGCGCGCAATAATAAGTGAAATCAAATCGCTAGTTTTTTATATAAAAAAAAAAATAAAAAAATATACACCATATACATTGGCAAATAAAAGTAAAGATTAAAAATAATACAAAAGGAAATTACATAATAAAGGTAAAGCAACAGTTTGTAAAAAAAAAAAAAAAAAATATATAGAAGAGAAAGTTGTGTGATTTTTCTTACAATATATGTTTTGTGTGTCTATAGGGTAGCAAGAGTTTGAGAATTTCGAGTATTGGACAAGAAATAAAGTTAAAGGTTACTGCAACGACAAGGATAAGGAAATCTAGAAGTGTTCCTGCAAAATAGTATTATAAGCTTGGAGAACGTAAGTTTCATAGTGTATAGGTTATTTTATTAGCGTTACTGGTCAAATGTTTATAAATATTAATCTTTCGACCAAACAGCTTGAGACGGGTTTCTATCTGGAGCAGGACCAGAGTTAACTATTTTCGGAAACCTTACTCTTCCTGGGAAGAATCTCAAAAAGGGTTCTCCAAAAATTTAAATCCTCTCCTAAAACAACAGGTAACCATACTCAATTAAGAAAAATAATAGCCAGAAAGAAAAAGAGTACAATCCGTTCAATACTCGACGCTACGTATTCAATTGTGAAATTTCAATTATTGCACTTGATTTTTAGTATATTTAACTATAGAACAGAAGATATATATCAGAATTTAGGGTTAAGATTACTCCGTATCATTTATTAGTTTTAAGTTTAATTTATTTATAAGATATATTCATATGTGTTTGTGATTAGCGTGCCTCGCAAGAAAAAAAAAAATCGTCAGGTTGTAGGAATATCCATCCCCAAAACAAAACGAAGTATATATTCGAACTTTAGTTTTTTTTTTATTTAATTGTATTTTCCCTCCCGAAATAAAGAGCTCTTTAGAACAGGATCAGGAAGATTAGATATAGTGAACCATATCGATGGTCTGGCAATATTGTGCAAAAAAATAAATAAACGTTTTATTTTGGAAAAGGGTCTTTTCCTGTGGCATGTAGAAACGCCTGATATCATCTATTGTGAATATCGCTAAGAATTAGTGTAATAATACGTTATTTTGTTAGATTTGTGTATAAATATATGTAATTTTTCTTTATTGTTGAAGTTTAATTCTTTTATTCTATTATTATAAGCCCAATTTTTAAGGTAGATAAACATCTTAGGAAACCTATAATAGATAAAATAAATGAAATTATGTTCGTTAAATGATTTGAATTAAAAAAAAAAAAAAAAAAAAGGTATGAAGGCTTAAGTTTATTTGTTTAAGGGGTAGGAAGAGAGAAGGTAAGTGGTGAACAGCGAGCGGTGTTAAGGGGTTGCTTTAGAGGATGAGAGGAGATAGTAACCATGGTTGGGATGGGCGGCTGGAGAAACATCTACCTCCTGTTGTGGTCATGTCTCAATGTAGTGTAATCGTGTTAGTTTCTGTAACGTTAGTGAATTCATCATTAATTGGTACTGCCCTGAGGCTAGGTTGAAGGGAGAGACCACCTCTGAGTGTGTCATGCGAAAAGTTAGTCGGCCAGGATTCAACCTAGTGCTGCCAAAGGTCACGTAACAATATGGCGCCCAATCAAATAGAATAAAGAAGGCGTAAAACGCCAACTTATCATATAATATTGTGTATGAAAACCTACACACAATCTAATAGACCATTAGTGTAAAAGTCCATAGCCCAAAACAATCTTTTAGTTCCAAATCTGATTACTTGTTAAGATCTGTAGCCGTTCTGGATTAGAAATTCGGAAGTCAGTAGTACTGGTCATCTAGGTAAACACTTTCGGAGCTGAAAGAAAGTATCAAATAATAAGTGTGAAACAGATCATAAGAGTTCAAAAAAAAAAAAAAAATACCTTATCGTAACTGATAATGCACTTATTTAGAACATTTTTATATATTTGTAATCCTTAAGTATACTGTTTGCAGCCCAGGGAAACATTTTAATAGCCGCTCTGGAATATAACTAGAGGTCTGAAGTATTAAAATGCTACCAAGAGGGTCAATGACAGATCCGTAGGAATATGTCAGTAGGTAAACGGAGATCTTAAATATTGTTTATTTGTTAGTTTTGAATACGAGACATGAATACAGAAACTCTCTATACAGAGAGAGCCATAAAAAAAAAAAATATATATATATATATAACCGCATGCACCACCACCTATCTTTTACCGCCCCTATATCAAAAATAATATAATAATTTTTTTTAAATTTATAATATAGAGCTTAATCGATAAACGTTAAAGGTTATTAGTTATTTATTTTTGTTCAAGTTTTTTTTATTACAACCAAAAAGGTTTATTTAACATCTATTTAAAATCTTTTTAACAGTATTAATTCTTATGCAGCTCATATTTTGACTTATTTATTTATTTGTTTGTTTATTTATTTATTTATTTGCTTATTTAATTATTTATTTATTTATTTATTTATTTCTTTATTTATTTATTTATTTATTTATTTATTTTTTTATTAGTTTATCTGATTTATTTAAATCGTTTTATTTATTTAATTTCCAAATTGTTTCTTTGCAAATTATATTTTTTTGTGTACGTTTAAGATATATTAAGTTTTAGTATTATTGTTTAAACGAATTGATCGATGTTTTAAAATTTTAACTCTTTTCTAATCTGCTTAACTTGTGTTCCTTTTGATTTGAAAGGAAAGCAAAATAAACGAAATAGCCTTGAGATTTTTAGGGTAATGAGCGTCCAGACTAGGAATCAATCTAAAAACAAAGAACAAAACACTAGTATTGAATCAAATAGGAAGTTATTAAGTGTTCACGGAAATAGGAAGAGAAGTAGGTTACCAGAATTTGATTTGAATCGATCAACAATCCATTCTGATCCAAAACAAAGAAGGGTGTATAAACCGAGAAAACAAGGTATGGCTAATTCCAATGAGAATATCCACATAGGGTCCCAATTCACTGATTTGTCTGCCACGATAATGACCACGGCCCATGGGAATATTTCCACTAGGACGCCTGATTCAGGATTTAGGGCACCCTCAGATGAAGTTAATACCGCGAACGGAAACATAGGTCCAGATGTTATGGAACTAGTTGCGGATGAAGCACTTGTAGTACAGAGGTCCCTGGAGGACAAAGTTAGGAAAATGGTTCAAGACGAGATGACTGAAGTTAGGAAGACAATAGGAGATCTGGCGAAAGCAGTCAATAATTTGGCAAAAACTACGAATGCGGGTACACCAGCTGCAATAGGTAACAATACAGGAAACGGAAACAACGTACCTGGAAATGTAAATAATGAAAACAGAGCAAATCCAAGAAATGAAAACGCATATTTACCTCTTCCAAACCAATTCGTGCCTGAGAATTCAATTCCTCCAATGAATTTTACCACACAACATGATAACAGAATATCATCTAACGGAAATACTTCCTTTGATTTCCGTCAAATTCGAATAGACAAATTGGGAATAGTGTTTGATAATAAGACCATGGGTATAGATGATTTTATCTTCCGGTTAGAACATCTGAAAACCCATTACAACATTCCAGATAGGGAAGTTGTTAGAGATTTTCATCTACTTGTGTCCGGCTCAGTAAAGGACTGGTATTGGTCGTTTATAGGGACTCACGGTTTAACTGACTGGCCTGTCTTACGTCTCGCTTTACTATCCCAATATCAGACTCCGCGATCCAATTTCGAGGTGATGAGAGACTTGGTGGAAAGAAAGCAGCAGAATAATGAAACGATCGATATGTTCTTTCATGAAATGAACAAGTTAAGGTCAAAACTTACTCAACCCATGCCAGAATATGACATGATAAAAATCATGAAACGAAATGTAAATCCATATCTAGCAAGAATCGTTTATCCTTTAGCTGTTTCTTCAGTAGAACAATTACGAATTGAATGTAACGATGCTGATCGCAATTTTCCAAGGAGAGAAATACGTAACATAATACCCCCAGCACGTGTGAGGCAAATAAATGAAGTTTACGATGATGAATATACGACGAGGGATGAAACGGAAATACCAGAAATAAGGGAAGTGGAAGCTTTACGTATAGGCCAGCAAGCTTTCCAACAACAAAAGCAATCCCTAATATGTTGGAATTGTAAAATAGCGGGTCACGTTTACATGGAGTGTCCATCTGAGCAGCGATCGTTGTTCTGTTACAAATGCGGCAAGCCCAACGTCACGACACCGAAATGTCCAGTGTGCCAACAGAAAAACCAGATGAATGGCGTGGGAATGACAGGGGACTCACGTCAAAAGCCGAACCCTGCATCATCAAAAGATTAGATAAAGAAAATAGAAAGGAAAATGGGTTTAATCAGATTAGTAAAACGAATTTAGAAAACAATATACCTCAGATTAGACATTATCTTCCATTCCAAACAAGAAAATTTAATTATGATAGGGTAAGGGACAAGATATTCGGATCCGGCTCCAGTAAGATGGTATCTGAAAGAATTTTAAAAATTAGAAAAGAATTTAAGGAACGTCGTAATTTAAGGAGAAAAATAATAGAAACGATTCATAGGTCAAATAAAAATGTCATAGATCCTAGAATTTTTGTTAATGTAGAAGTAAATGGTTATGAAATGAGAGGATTATTAGATTCAGGAGCATCTGTTAGTATCATTGGGAAAAATTGTAGAGAATTA